GGTGGAGGGGGCCCACCGCGACCTTCACAATATTGGACATCCGGGGAGGGCAAAAACCCACTTTTTACCTTTTACCTTATTAAATTTAAAAATTTTAACTTTTTACTTTATATTATAATATTTTTAACTCCTCATTTTATTAGATTGATAAGTTTTAACATTTTATCTATTAAAATTAAAAAAAATAGTCCTCAATTTAGATTGATTATTAATTTTAGTAGTTGATATAGTTAAAAGTAGATTTTTATCAATTAATAATCAATTAATAACCAATTAACAAAATTAACAAAACATTATAAAATTAATTCTGTTAATTCTGTTATCTAAAAGAAGGTTTTTAATAATTTAACAGTTAACTAACAGTCAGTTAATAAAGTTAATAGTCAATTAACAGAACTAACAAAATGTTACAAAGTAAGGGTTATTTCTTTTAATTTTAACAAGTAAAGAGTTAAAAGTGTTTTAGTATAAAGTGAATAACTAAAATCTATAAATTTAATAAATTAAAGAACTAAAATGTCATAAAATAAAATATAAGGTGATGAACTAAAACCTTTAAACTTAATAAAATGAGAAATTAAAACTTTCAAACTTAATAAATTTAACGAAATGAGTCGTTAAAAATAAGGTTTTACACCAGTGAAAAGGGGTCCACACGAACTTCACACGAACTTCACAATATTAGACATCCGGTGAGGAGGGGGTCCACCACGATTCTACGGTGAGCAGGGGTCCACCTTACTTTTCTTACGACTTTTTTTGAACTCATTTCTTAAGACTTAATGTTTATAGCGACGTTGTCACAATATTGAGGATGGGGTCCACCACGAAACTTCACAGTATTACACATATGGTGGGCAAAAACCCATCTTAAGCCCCTCAACTTTTTCGACAGCAAGTGATAAGCCCCTGAACTAAAAAAGTGGCAAATAAACCCTCCAACCCCACGATGGGTGCAAATCAGCCCTTCCGCTAACTGGCTTCCTGACGCCGTTTGTCATCGGCTTGCGTGGCACTGCACCCGCACGCCTTTGCCCTTTTTTTTTTGCTTTTACTTCATTTGTTTTTAATAATAATATATATTAAAAAATTAATTAATTAATATTATAGAATATACATACCTTTAAGTGATATTTTTTAATAAAACAATGATTTTTTTATTATAATTAACAATATATTTACCTCAATAATCTTTATAAATTACTTCTTAA